CCCTAAAATGATGTTCAAAAGGCTGGTCTCTTAGCAAATACCTCTGCAACCTAAATTCTTATTTTTCACCACAACAGTTCTCTGCTTTAGCCAAAAAAGATGTCCTTTCTTTTGAAGACAGCTTATACTTTGTCCATGTCTCTCCAGTCCACTTGAAAGATCATCATCCTCATGTCATTTCTACCATTCAAATCATTCTTCAAATCCTATCTTTTCTCTAAGCTGACTTTCCCCCTACTTAGCTGAACTTTCACAGCAATCACTGTCCAATTCACATGGCAATGGTCACATTCTGGATTTTGTCATTTATTTGTTACTAAGCTATGTGAAATATTTTGATCATTTAAGGTGTGTTTATAACTACAGTGTAAGCTGCACTGAGCACACAAGTGGGGTCATGTCTTATGTTTTCTAGTCTTCTCCCTCTGTGAATCCACTATATGACATACTGTCAGTATTTGATCTGCTGATATTAACAGAACATTTATGTATGAAGGTAATTAAGTACATATATCCCTTTTCTACAGCCAAATAACAATCTATTTAAGGTAAGGTTTATATATTGAGCATTTCCTCCTAGTTTCATAGTTCCGTTGCCTATTTACTCCCTGTTTATTAGCTGCTATGTGTAATCATTTTTTCTTTTTAAAAAATTTAGGTTACCCTTGGTATATGTTAAACAGAAAACCTTGTTTGGAGTAAAAACAGACTATTTTCTTGAGGGACCCCAAAATCCAGCAAGGTATATATATATGTTTTTTAAGATTACACATGAGGATTGTACTTTGAAACATCTGAGGAAATGGGAGTACTTCTACGACTAATAATGAATCAATAACTGTCTTCTGAGGGCTTATTTCCTCTAATCAAGGTAGTAGATGCCCTGTAGAATCTATAATCTAGCTGAAAAGGAAAGATTCTCTTCTTTCAACCTTCCAAATTACCACCATCCTTTTAGTCATGTCAACATCCTATACTCATTTCTTTGAGGGTTCTCTGATGGATCACATAAAATATTTGTATTTTTAAATTAATTTTCACAGCTTTGGGTCAATTCTTTTTTTTTTTTTTTTTTTTTGAGACGGAGTTTTGCTCTTGTTGCCCAGGCTGGAGTGCAATGGAATGATCACAGCTCACCACAACCTCCGCCTCCCGGGTTCAAGCAATTCTCCTGCCTCAGACTCCCAAGTAGCTGGGATTACAGGCATGCGCCACCATGCCCGGCTAATTTTGTATGTTCAGTAGAGACAGGGTTTCTCCATGTTGGTCAGGCTGATCTCAAACTCCTGACCTCAGGTGATCCGCCCGCCTCGGCCTCCCAAAGTGCTGGGATTACAGGCGTGAGCCACCATGCCCGGCCTTGGGTACAATTCTTAATACTTTGAGGTACCTGCCACAAAAAAAGACTCAGAATTACTGCACTAGACCAAGATATAAATTATAATTAGCAATATACAGCATCACTTTTATGAGACTCACTAAAATTATATTAATTGTTAAATTTTCCTTTTTGCCAGGATACTTTTACTGTTAAGGAAAAGAAACTATATTATATTGCTATGCAATAATGAATCCTAGCAAATAATACAACTGAGATGATATATGATTTCTAGCCAATGGATACTGTCTCTCTCAATCTGCCAAGAGGAGCTGGAGACTGGAGGGGGGCTCTTGCTCCCAATCAGTTTCGTTTCTAAGTTTGGCTCCCTTAAAGCTTTGAAGCATATATATTAAAAATTAAGTAATTTATTTTTAGACATAAAAACTTGAAAACCCAAGAGAAAAATACTTATTTGAACTCACTTGGATTAAAAAAAAAAAAAAGACACTTCTGTCTCATGGTAATAGTACTAAAACAAAATAAAACAATATAGAGGAGCAGCTGGCAGCTCGCTGACATTTTGAAGGAAAGCAAAATAAAAGGTAAGGGCATAGAGTCTTGCTCTGATGAAGTACAGCAAGGCACAACAGAAACGGTTATCTCAGCTCAACGCTCATATACCCATAACACAACAATAACATTAGAAAAAAACTATCCTCGGGTATTCCAAGTGGGTATACAGGGGTACTGAAAGGTCTGGTCATAAAATAATAACTCACTCACTATCGCTAACTTCTGGTGATGGCAGCAGCCTGCTGGAGGAGAAATTGAGATATTTAAAAGAGCATTCTTGCCTCAAAATTAAGGTTTAAAGGAGAAGAAGGAAAAGCAGACACATAGAGAATAAAGACAGCGCAAATAAAAAAGGTCATTTGATGCCCAGAAAGTGACAACAAAGCTATCTACAAAACAAAATTTTATCTCTACCTTCAATACATTTTCTTAAACTTTAACTGACACCTTAAAATGAAAAGCAGTAGTAATTTACTACAGACTATAATTTATTATAGACTTCATTAATGTAAATGTACTCATATTTAGTATTTATATTATGAAATTACTTCAAATGCTTATGAAATAAAATAAAACTTACCCCATCACTTTCTCTATGTGGATTCAGTCTACTATAAACAGCTTCAATTACATTGCGCCTAAAAAAAAAATCATGCTTTAGTTTTATTAAATTACATAGAATTTTAAGCTTGTGAATATCTCAATATTTCATCCTGACTACACTAAAAAAGTAACTGCTACACTCTATACTTGTCAAGAACATACTTTCTACACTTTACTCTCAGAATCTGATTTTGCACAATCCATTTGTACTCATTAGCAAGGAAAGAAGGACCTTCATACTCAAAGAGTATGATAGATTTTTTAAAAAATCGTTTTTGGATGAAGTTTTAAGAGTTCTTCTCTAGCATAAGAAACACTAACCCATTTCACCTCTAGATAATTGATGTACTTCTGATTTAAGTTTCCTTACCCCAAATTATTTAATTACTAATTATAAACGAACTCAAAATTAGCTCTTTTTGTTCTACTTACTTGCCAGCAAGACCTCCCCCAGGAGGCAAATTTGGGATATTTTCTGCAGACAAGATGCGCATGACATGGGCAAGATCAGGCATTCCTTCCTCGCCAGACTTCTCCATAATCTCTGTAGGTTTTTAAAAAAAGTTCCTAAATTAATGTGATAAGCCAGTACTCACCAAGAAGTGAAACAAGAATACTATTTGGTAGTACCTATTTTAAAATATATTTAAAAAAATTATCATCAGCACACAAAAAATTTTTTAAAAGTAATACAAGAAGCTACTTATTGACTGAAACATTGTCATGCAGGGAAAAAAAGGAAAACACAGTTATTTGCACATATATGTTCATTCCAGCATTATTCATAAAAGCAAAAACTGGAACAAACTAAATGTTCAGCAACAAGAGGACAGTTAAAAAAAACTTTGGTGTAGCCATTGAGTGAAATGGTCTATAATCACTAAAAATTACGTAATAGGTGTCTCGATGAATACAGAAACAGCTATATGGAAAAATACTTCTGATCTAATATTAAAAATAATATAAAAGTTATGAATGCCATTACTAAAGGATAACAAAAGTTTAGCTGGATAAGAATTGTAAGAAAAAGGGGAGAAATTAAAAATCATTTTTACAGGTTGTTACTTACCTGAAATAGTTACATTCTACATCTTTTTTTTTTTTTTTTTTTTTGAGACAGACTTTCACTCTTGTTGCCCAGGTTGGAGTGCAATGGTGTGATCTTGGCTCACCGCAACCTCCGCCTCCTGGGTTCAAGCGATTCTCCTGCCTCAGTCTCCCAAGTAGCTGGGATTACAGGCCATGTGCCACCACGCCTGGCTAATTTCGTATTTTTAGTAGAGACGGGGTTTCTCCACGTTGGTCAGGCTGGTCTCGAACTCCCAACCTCAAGTGATCCGCCCGCCTCGGCCTCCCAAAGTGCTGGAATTACAGGCGTGAGCCACCGCACCCAGCCCAGGCCTTACTTTTAAAACAAAAAAAGGCAGTGTCTTCAGCAGCCCTTGAGATACAAAATCCAAACTGTTTTACCATGCCTCACAAGACCCTTACATTGACTTTAACATTTCCTACCGAGTAGCTAGGATTACAGGCAGGTCTAAGTTTTCTACCTTAAGTCTGTGTCTTATAGTATAAGGCTTCTCAACATCAACAGCACTGACATTTTACACCAGACAATTTTTTTGTTGTGGAGGCTGTCCTGTGCGCTGTGGAATATCAAGCAGCATCCCTGGCCTCCATTCACTAGATGCCAGTGGCACCCCCTCAGCTATGACACCAAAAATGTCTCCAGGCATTTTCACACTCCTCTACTCTAGTCCAATTTACCACTACCATGTATTAACGCCTAATTTCTAATTGGTATTTTGCCTTCTCTTGTCCCCTTTATACAATCTCTTCTCCATACAGCAACTAAGAGAGATCATTTGGAAAAAAAGAACAAATCACTCTTGTACTCAAAATCTTCCAGTGAATTCCCACCACAAGTCAAATAAAGTCCGAAGTCCTCACTTTGGTCTACAGAACCCTACATGATATGCCTCCTACAAACCTCTTAATCTTCCTCTAGTTTTCTACTGGCTCATTCTAACCCAGCTACACTCACTAAGAACATTCCCTCCTAGTCTTTGCTGTTCTCATTGCCTGGAATGTTCTCCCTCAGATATTCTCTCTCCATGCAGGTCTCTGCTCAAATGTCCTTCCTCACAGAGACATTCCTAACCAATATTCCTTGCTGCTTTCTGCTTACTCTATTTCTCTATTAAAAAATAGGTTTTTACTAGAATACAAATTCCATGAGATTTCTTTTTCTGCTATATCCTCAGTGACACGTGTTCAGTAAACACTGAGTAAATCTATATGTAGAAAGCAATCATTAAATATACAATTCATCGGCCGGGCGCGGTGGCTCAAGCCTGTAATCCCAGCACTTTGGGAGGCCGAGACGGGCGGATCACGAGGTCAGGAGATCGAGACCATCCTGGCTAACCCCGTGAAACCCCGTCTCTACTAAAAAATACAAAAAACTAGCCGGGCGAGGTGGCGGGCGCCTGCAGTCCCAGCTACTCGGGAGGCTGAGGCAGGAGAATGGCGTAAACCCGGGAGGCGGAGCTTGCAGTGAGCTGAGATCCGGCCACTGCACTCCAGCCTGGGCGACAGAGCGAGACTCCGTCTCAAAAAAAAAAAAAAAAAAAAAAAAATATACAATTCATCAATTTAGGTGAACTATTTCCTGTTTATTTTAGTATTATTCCTTTCCTACCTGACCAGTCATCACTAAAAGCATATACACAGATTTACCAAGTTACCACAAAATTTAAAGTCATATTACATGATTTAAAACCTCAGAAGAAACACAATGCTCCTGAAGAACACTGCTTTATAAATAAAAAGTTACTTTTTTTTTTTTTTTTAAAGACATGTTCTTCCTCTGTGGCTCAGGCTGGAGTGCAGTGGTGCCATCACAGCTCACTGTAACACCAAACTTCTAGAACTCAAGGGATCCTCCTGTTTCAGTCTTCCAGCAGCTGGAACTACAGGTGTACACCAACATGCCCAGCTATTTTTTAAAACATTTTTGTAGGTCTATGATGACCAGGCTGGTCTTGAACTCCTAGTCTCAAGCAATCCTTCTGTCTCGGCATCCCAAGGATTATAGGTGTAGCTACTGTGAAGTTACATTTTAAGTACCAACTTAATTTGTAGTGGCTGCCGAGCTAACAATTTTGTTTCCTGATTAATAATAACTATTTGCTACAGGCCCTAGAGATCATATAACATATTTGTTATCTCTCCTATATAATATATACTTTGGAAAGTTACAAACTATGCAAAAGAAAATTAATATTATTAACTCATGTTAAACTGAATTGACCACACCTTTAAGAAATTAAAATGTGGCTATTACAGAAGTTAAGAGTTCATACAAGTTACAGTTTGCTGAGGACTTACATGCTAGGCACCATAATAGGTGCTTAATAAACAAAATTCTCATTTATTTTGACAAAAACTCTTTCCTTGGACCAAACCTTCAGCAAGACTCTTGAGTTCTTTCTGACTAAGAGACCTTTGGACTCCCTCTCTGTGCTTGTAGAAACCAGGCTGACTGAGAATCCTGCTCAGTCAGTTTACTGAAAACCCCCACATACTTGGTATATGACCACTCTGGATATTTCAGCCTGGCCTGCCATCCTATCAAGTCAGTTTAGCCAGAAACCCCTTCCTTATGTTGATGCTTTCTCTTAGTAGTAATTTTTCACCTACTGACACTCCCTTCCAGCACTCAGCTCCTTTGTTATAAATTCCACTTATCTTTATGGAACCCCAAGTTGAGTTTAATTGCTTTCTGTCACTGCAAGATTCTATCATAGTGGTCCCTATATCTACTGCCATGGTCCCCCTGAAAAAAATATCTGCCTTACCATCTTTAACAATTGTCATCAATAAGCTTTTTCTGCAACAATCTATTAAAAAAAAAACTCTATGGGGCCAGGTGTGGTGGCTCAAGCCTGTAATCCCAGCACTTTGGGTAGCCAAGGTGGGTGGATCACAAGGTCAGGAAATCGAGACCATCCTGGCTAACACAGTGAAACCCCGTCTCTACTAAAAATACAAAAAGAAATTAGCCGGGTGTGGTGGCGGGCACCTGTAGTCCCAGCTACTTAGGAGGCTGAGGCAGGAGAATGGTGTGAACTCGGGAGGTGAAGCTTACAGTGAGCCGAGATCGCACCACTGCATTCCAGCCTGGGGGACACAGCGAGACTATGTATCAAAAACAAAAAAAAAACAAAAAGAACCCTCTATGGTTGGTGTTTTTATCTTTAGTTTCCAATAACGTAACTGGAGCCTTGAGGGGTTAAGCAAGTTGGATAAGATCACATAACAGGCAGCTGACCAAACTTGAGAGTTCTTCCTAAAATAAAAACTACCCGGTTTCTTTATGAATGAGGAAGAAGGAAACTAACAGAATTCCTCCCATCTTCTGATAAACTATAGTCAGCAATCTACAACCCCAATGTACTACAATTTATCATTAAACATTAACTCCTATAAAAATAGCTCCTCTTAATAATATTATCAACAGGAATATGACCGTATCTGACATAATCTTCAATGTGTTCTTACATGTTTCTCACGTTTCCATCACCCTCAAAGCAGGACTCACTGAGACTCAAAAGCACTGAGACCTAAAAACAAGATTCATTTAGGGCTGAGGAAATTGTAGGCCCACAAAAAACTTTAAGCACATTGTTTAGGGTGCATAGCTAGATAGTTGTAGAGACAGAAAAGCTAAATCCCCATTCTCCAAATTTGCAAAAGACTCTCCTTGGTTTTATACTTTTAATTATAATTATATATTAGAAATCACAGATCTTCACAGTTCAAAACTCTCACCAATTACTGTGGCCTATTATATACAAAATGACTCACAACAGGCCAAATTCAACAAGCCCATTACACCATCATCGTAAGTTATATTATTCAAATGTATTTTCTCCCCAAAAAGAAAAAAAAAAATCAAAACATAAAAGTGTTAGGAGAAAATACAGGTAACTACATAACCTTGAGTGGAAGAGCTTGGTATGATATCCAAGTTCTCCCGCAAAGAAAAGAAAAAAGACTGACAATCTAACTTTATAAAAAGTAATTTCATATCTTAAAAACAGCATATATAAAATCAAAAGGTTATATTAAGATTATGATACTTAGCTTCTCAGGGTTGAAAGTAAAAAAGAAAAGGGCCTTAAGACTGAAAAATACATTCTCAATTTATCAGGGTAACCACTAATTTTTTTTTTTAACTAAATGGAATTTTTTTTTTTTTTTTTTTTTTTTGAGACAGAGTCTTGCTCTGTCGCCCAGCCTGGAGTGTGCAGTAGCACGATCTCAGCTCACTGCAAAGCCCCACCTCCCAGGTTCATGCCATTCTCCTGCCTCAGCCTCCCAAGTAGCTGGGACTACAGGCACCCGCCACCACACCCGGCTAATTTCTTTTTGTATTTTTAGTACAGACGGGGTTTCACCGTGTTAGCCAGTATGGTCTCGATCTCCTGACCTCGTGATCTGCCCTCCTTGGCCTCCCAAAGTGCTGGGATTACAGGCGTGAACCACTGTGCCCAGCCTACTAAATGGAATTTTTTAAAGAATGTGTAACTAATAAGCAAATCCTAGGATGAACTGGAATACATCTAAAAGAAGGCAAGAATGGAGGATTAAAAAAAAAAAAAATAGATGAAACAAGAAAGACAGATTTAAACTCAAACATACCAGCAATTACATTAAAGATAAACAGACTAGCTTCTCCCTTCTCTCGTTTCTGAATAATTTTGTCCAACACCATTAGATTTGCTTAGTTAAGCAAAACAAATCTTTCAGGGAGTGGAGGGGGAAATAGTGGCCACAAATTGGTCCAGAATGGGATATTCATGGCTAACCACAGTAAGCATAGCTTTAGGATGGCTACAGGGATGGGCAATGTGGAGTGAGGAAGGCATACGCATAAAGGTTAGCCGTGATAGAAGAGAATTATAAATATGAAAAGGGAGAAAACTACAATAAACCCTGTAATACTGTACAGTTGCGGGCAGGACAAAAAGATGCTGCAACAAGTTTTAAGAGGCTCTCATTGGCTGAAACAGTTTATAATACAATGAATAGAACAGGAGTTTGTGAGTCTGTGCTCATATAAATAAACAGGTAGAAAAGAAAATTTTTCCTTGCAGTAAAATACTAACACATATAAAAAGAATGACTGAGCCAGGCACGGTGGTTCATGCCTGTAATGCCAGCACTTTCGGAGGCCAAGGTGGGCGGATCACCTGGGCGGATCACCTGAGGTCGGGAAGTTTGAGATCAGCCTGACCAGCATGGAGAAATCCCATCTCTATTAAAAATACAAAACTGGCCGGGCATCGTGGCACGTGCCTGTAATCCCAGCTACTCAGGAGGGTGAGGCAGGAGAGTCACTTGAACCTGGGAGGCGGAGGTTGCGGTGAGCTGAGATCATGCCATTGCACTCCACAGCCTGGGCAACAACAGCGAAACTCCATCTCAAAAAAAAAAAAAACAATGACTAAATCAGAAAATCACCAGTTGGCTATCATTCTTCAGGCAAAAATCACAAATGGATGCTAAAACTATCTGCTGAAATCTTAATGAGAATAGGTTATTAACAATCTCAAAGTGTATCCCCATAGAATACTTATGAGTAAATATAACATATTTATTAAATACTTATTAGGTATAACATAATTATTAATTAAGTAACCTGAAACACAACAACCCAAGAAAGTCACAAAAGATGTTAGCATTATAAATCAACATCGCATGCCTCCCTGATTGTGATGCACTGAGAACAATCTACAATCACTTCCACGGTATTCCTGCCAATGTATAACCTAAATCTTATCAAGAGGAAACATCAGCCAACCCAAGCTGCACATTCCACAAACCTGTCATCTTAAAAAATGCAAAGGTCCATAGAAATAAAAAAAAAGACTACAGAACTTTTTCCATTGAGGGAGAGACTAAAGAGGCATGATAGCTAAATGCAATACACATGCTCTAGACTGCACCTGGACCTACATATGACATTACTGGGATAATCAGGGAAATTTAAATGAGATCTGTGGATTACATATTAATATTGTATCAACATTAATTCCTTAATTTTTCCCCTCCAGAGACAGAGTCTCGCTCTGTCATCCAGGTTAGAGTACAGTGGCATGATCTCAGCTCACTGCAACCTCCGCTTTCCAGGTTCAAGCAGTTCTCCCACCTCAGCCTCCCGAGTAGCTGGGATTACAGGCACCCGTTACTAGGCCTGACTAATTTTTGTATTTTTAGTACAGATGGGATTTCACCATGTTGGCCAGGCTGGTCTCGAACTCCTGACCTCCTGATCCGCCCACTTTGGCCTCCCAAAGTGCTGGGATTACAGGTGTGAGCCACCGTGCCGGGCCAATTTCCTAATTTTTATGGATGTACTACAGTTATGTAGTGTTATGTAATCTTCGTTTTATTAAGGAGTACTGATATATCACATTTGCAACTTTCAATTGATTTGGCTCAGGAAAAAGGTAGTAACATGGGGGGGGGCAGGGGAGTAAGAGGAGAGAGAGGGGAGAGGGAAGGAAGGAGGGAGAGAGAAAATGAGAATGTTACAGAAAGTATATATAGAGATGCGCCAAACGTGGTATTACATAAACAAATGAGGAATCTAGGTAAAGAATACTACATGTACATGGGAGCTCCTGTAATACTTTTGCAACTCTTCTGTATGTTTAAAATTATTAGGCTGGGTGTGGTGGCTCCCACGCCTGTAATCCCAGCAGTTTGGTAGGCCGATGTGGGAGGATCGCTTGAGTCCAGGAATTTGAGACCACCCTGGGAAACACAGTGAGCCTCATCTCTACAAAAAATAAAGAAAACTAGCCAGCTGTGGTGGCACATGCCTGTAGTTCCAGCTACTTGGGAGAGGCTGAGGTGAGAGGATCACTTGAGCCCAGGGAGTTGAGGCTGCAGTGAGCCGAGATCACGCCACTGTACTCCAGCCTAAGCAACAAAAAGAGCAAGACCCTGTCTCAAAAAAATAAAATTGCCAAATGAAGTTTTAAAAAATATGTAAAATAATCTTTTGAAACACTAATCTTAACTCTATCAATAAAAGGGAAAGGATACCGTAATGAATTCCAATGATAATTAAACCAGGAAGGGAGAATTAGTATTAGTGGAATTAGAGTACTTGGTTTTCATGATATTGTTAAGGGAAATTTCAATGGATTCTCCACTTACTAGTAGAAATGTATGCAGGGAAAGAAGGAAAAAAAAAAAAAACCAGCAAGCTCTAACCAACTACCTTCAAATTATGTTTCTCTTTGGTGGTGAAACAGACATATTTGTCTTCTCCCTGTCAATAAATCTCCACACATTGGTCCAAGATAGTAAATTTTAGACAGATGTGTTTTTTCAAGGACTTGTTTTGAAATACTTCTTTGTCCTGTGTAATTTTTTTGGGGGGGGGAGACGGAGTCTCGCTCTGTCGCCCAGGCTGGAGTGCAGTGGTATGATCTCAGCTCACTGCAACCTCCACCTCCCAGATTCAAGCAATTCTCCTGCCTGAGCCTCCTGAGTAGCTGGGACTACAGGTGCGTGCCACCATTTCCGGCTAATTTTTTGTATTTTAGTAGAGACAGGGTTTCACCATGTTAGCCAGGATGGTGTCGATCTAACCTTGTGATCTGCCCGCCTCAGCCCTCAGCCTCCCAAAGTGCTGGGATTACAGGTGTGAGCCACCGCGCCTGGCCAGGAAATTTTAAAATAATCATTTGATAAACAAAAATAATACTTTCCCTCTCTAAATTTTTTTTTTTTTTTTCTTGAGATAGAGTCTTGCTGTGTTACCCAGGTGACAAAAGTGCTAGGATTACAGGCATGAGCTACCATGCCTGGCCTGTCTGTATTTTTAAAAAGCATCTGTCTTACCTTCAACCCGTGATTCCAAGTGCTTATCCAACTCTGAATCTTTTTTCACCGCTTCATCTGAGACCTTGGGAGCATTTGAAAAGCAAACTAGTACAATACTCATGTTATCTCGACTTCCCTGTATATTAAAGAAAAAAAAAAGAAAAAAATTGTATTTCTACAGTCTATCAACTATCATTTACTTCAAAATACTTTAAGCAATTATAGTTTATTTAATCATCCAGAACGTTTATGTTCAACACATTTTTATTCCAATGAACTACTGAAAACACAACTTGAAGAAACAAGGTGTCTATATATGGGTAGATCTGTAAGTATTTTTGTATTTTTAATTCTGGTGAACTATTCTTCCCATCACCATTCCAGTCTGAGAAATGAAGATATCTTCAATACAAATTAAATCTTCTAAACTATTTCCCACTCAAAACTGTCTATTCCCAAACTGGCTTAAGTCCACAATGGATCCTCCCAAACACATATGCAAATGTTTTCCAGCTTAGCTTTTAAACTGCATCAGAGCAATGCTATGACTCTGTGAATTTAACATAGCTGAAATTTGTTATCCAGTGGAATACCCAAAATGCTAAACTGAACAATTATTATTATTTTTTGAGACAAAGTTTCACTCTTGTTGCCCAGGCTGGAGCCCAATGGCACGATCTCGGCTCACTGCAACCTCTGCCTCCCGGGTTCAAGCGATTCTCCTGCCTCAGCCTCCTGAGTATCTGGGATTACAGGCAACCACCACCATGCCCGGCTAATTTTTTTATATTTAGTAGAGATGGGGTTTCACCATGTTGACCACGCTGGTCTTGAACTTCTGACCTCAGGTGATCCACCCACCTCAGCCTCCCAAAGTGCTGGGATTCATAGCCGTGAGTCACCACGCCCAGCCCCACAACTATTAATACAAGAAACAATTCAAAGGGCACAGCAACAGTGGACTGTAACTGGACAACTGAGATCCAATTGTAGTCATATAATAACTTTTAAAGAAAAGACATCAGATTGTTGTATAGTCGCAAATAGTTTCAGAGTCTTTACAAAGTGGCTAAAATAGCTAATTTAAGGACATATTTTATTTCTCCCTTTTAACCACACCCTCACAAATTACCTGCGTTAAAAAGGAAGCACAGGCCAGGCGGGGTGGCTCACGTCTGTAATCCCAGCAATTTGGGAGGCTGAGGCGGGTGGATCACAAGGTCAGGGATTCAAGACCAGCCTGATTAACATGGTGAAACCCTGTCTCTACTAAAAATACAAAAATTAGCCAGGCGTGGTGGCACGCGCCTGTAATCCCAGCTATTCAGGAGGCTGAGGCAGGAGAATCACTTGAACCCGGGAGGTGGAGGTTGCAATGAGCTGAGATTGTGCCCCTGTACTCCAGCCTGGGGGACAGAGTGAGTCTCCGTCTCAAAAAAAAAAAAAAAAGCAAAAAGCAAAAAACCAGGCACTGTGGCTCATGGCTGTAATCTCAGCACTTTGGGAGGCCTCGGGGAGCAGACCATTTGAACCCAAGAGTTCCAGACTAGCCTGGGCATAATGGCAAAACCTTATCTCTACAGAAAATACAAAAATTGAGCTTGGTGGCGCACACCTGTAGTCCCAGGTCCCAGCTACTCAGGAGGCTGAGGTGGAAGGATCACTTAAGCCTGGGAGGTGGAGACTGCAGTGAGCCATGATGACACCACTACACTTTAGCCTGGGCAACAGAGCAAGACTCTGTCTCAAAAAATAAAAAAAAGAAAGCAAGCACATACTACTCTAGTACCATGAGATTGTGTGCAATAAATTAAAACTATCTTCTCATTACTTTTTCTAAACGTATATTACTTTAACTGAGTTTCTAAGAGCAGGAACAGATGAAACTCTTCTTAGAACAATGAATTTTTTTTTTTAACTTTTTCTGTTCACTCTAAAAAACTAAGTCAATGGAGGTGGTAGGCTATTTTGTCTGACAGTGGAGTTTGCCAATTTGCCAACTCAAGTGAAAGAAACCAAGACTACACCCATTCTAGTCTTTTCAGTTATTATGGTCAGAATCTAGGCAGGCACGGCTTGGTTCAGACTTGCGCCTTTCAGGACCTACATGACACAGCCCAAAAGACAGGTGGCCTTGAATAACTTCTGCCTTCACCTCCTAATTCAATGGGAGTAGAGTCTGAAGGCAGTGAAGGTTGGGTCTTCAGAAGACTTCAAAATAAATTAACTTGCCACAGATTGTTGTGCTTTGGAAGAAGGAACCAACATGAGTATATTTCATTAGATTACCGGTTATCTGGAAAACCAAGAATTTTCAAATTGGCTAACAAATTAATCTCATTCCTTAATGAAACCCACCAAAACTTTTATATTAGAAATACTGTATGTATTTGGTTATATGAATATACTTGTATAAATGTCATAAGGGCAGGTCAAGCAAAAATTTTTAATTAAAAATCATTTTAAAGTACGCCATGGATATTCAAGAATCAAACAGCTGGACATGGTGGCTGCCTGTAATCCCAGCAGTTTGGGAGGCAGAGGCAGGAGGATCATTTGAAGCCAGGAGTTTGAGACTAGCCCGGGCAACATAGTGAGACACCCATTTCTAAAACAAAACAACAACAAAAAAGAATCAAGCATAATTACATTTTATAAAGCAATTTTATGAATAAACAGAATTAATGCCTTGCACTTTTAGAAATCTAATTTCTTTAACCCTTTTTAGTTTTGGTAACAACAACGTGAGCATTCTTGAACATTTCCTTATCTAATTTCCATTAGATTTTTGTAAGTTATAAAATACAGATACTTCTGGAAAATTAATTGAAAGAGAGTTCCAATAAGTTTATGGCTCTCCAAAGATATTTAAGGGAAATAATTTATATTTACACCTCAGGCATGTGTGATTTCAATGATGTTGCTTCTTAGCCACCTTGCCTGGCTTACTTCTATTTCTATGGTAAAGATGGCTTTCCCCTAAACACCAAGTATGAATATGTTTCAGTAGCTGTTATACAGCAACAGAAAAGGTCCTTTCCTTTGTGCCACTCTGTTTTTTAGAGACAAATCACCCTTGTATAACCAGTATAAAGTTTTCACTAAGTTCATAAATAAAACATGTTTTTTTTTTTTTTTCTAAATCCAGTTTGGATAACTAAAGAAATTAGCTCTGCATATAAAAATTGATTATTTCATTACATGTTCTTTTTACTTTTTACAACAGCACAGCGGTTAACATGCTCAATAATTACAGTACTAGATCAAAGAAGTCAGTGCCCCTGCCATAAATAAGGGCACCTAAACTTAAACAGAAAATAATCTGATATAGTTTTTTGTTTGTTTTTGTTTTTTGAGACAGAGTCTCACTCTGTCGCCCAGGCTGGAGTGCAATGGCATGATCTCAGTTCAAGCAATTCTCCTGAGTTTAGAACTAAACCATTATTGAGGGGATTACATTTTCTGTTATATAAATTATTACAGAATGATATTGCCTTTGGAAAATAATAATTCCCTCAATTTTATCCAACTATGAGGTACTATCTCATGTTTTAAAATAAATAGGCTTCTGGTAGATGGTATATAAATGAAATTTTGGAAAATCAAATAATATTTTAAAAGAACAATTTAAAAGAATACTGACTTCTATGATTTAAGAAAAACAAAGCAGATGACAAAGTAACAAGCATAGCATGATTTTTTTCAGTAAAATAGAAACAAAGAAAATCCTATTTTATGTTTATACATTTCTATCAATAATCACAGAGAACCATTTGGAAAGATATACAGCAAACCATAAGCAGTGGTTCCCTAAGGGGGATGAGACTGGAAAGCAGAAACATCAAGGGGAATCACTTTACTTCAAACATCTTTGTATTTGTTACAAAAAAAATATTTAGTCTCAATGTTTCCCTTGGGGAAAAATTTTTCAGACCATGAAAACCGAGACAGATACACACACACAGACATACACATACACACACACACACACACACACACACACACACTTCTTTATCAGAGCCTTCTGGGAAATATTGCTAACAAAAATACTAAACTTGAGTCAGAAAACTAGTGTCAGCCTCAATACTCATCAAGTATATGACTTATGGATATCTTTTAATATCAAACAACCTCCATTTCCTTACTTGCAAATTGAAAAATAAAAACTTTTATTTTGTTCACCTCAGAAAGTTACTATGAGGATTAATAAGTACATATAATTTACAAGTTATGAAAAGCTATGCAAGTAGCAGTTACATATTCTATATAACCCGAAATCAGTTGGCAGTAAACACCATAAATGCCAGCATTGGAAATGAGGGCTGCTTTCTTAGCTACCATTCTCCCCTCGAGTTAAATACCTAATTTAAATAGGACAATACCTGACCAAGCCAACACTTACAGCTTAATATTAATTGGCAACCCTGAAAAATGCTTATCTTTTTTTTTTTTTTTTGAGATGGAGTGTCCCTCTGTCGCCCAGGCTGGAGTGCAGTGGTGCGATCTCGGCTCACTGCAAGCTCCACCTCCCGGGTTCACGCCATTCTCTGCCTCAGCCTCCCAAGTAGCTGGGACTACAGGCGCCCACCACCACCCCCGGACAATTTTTTCTTTTTCTTTTTTTTTTTTTTGAGCCGGAGTCTCGCTCTGTCACCCAGGCTGGAGTGCAGTGGCGCAATCTCAGCTCACTGCAAGGTCCGCGTCCTGGGTTTACACCATTCTCCTGCCTCAGCCTCCCGAGTAGCTGGGACTACAGGCGCCCGCCACCTCGCCCGGCCAGTTTTTTTGTATTTTTTAGTAGAGACGGGGTTTCACCGTGTTAGCCAGGATGGTCTCGATCTTCTGACTTCGTGATCCGCCCGTCTCGGCCTCCCAAAGTGCTGGGATTACAGGCTTGAGCCACCGCGCCCGGCCCCGGACAATTTTTTCTATTTTTTAGTAGAGACAGGATTTCACCGTGTTAACCAGGATGGCCTCTATCTCCTGACCTCACGATCCTGACTACCTCATATGGTTGTGAAAATTACATGAGTTAAAATGTGTAAAATATTTAGAACAGCGTTTGGCTTACAGAAAGCAACAATTTACTAATACTATCATGATGATGATTATGATAACCTCCCACGATTTAATGAGTTAAGATGAAAGTACTTATAAATTATGAAGGTATGACAAGTGATGGAAATGTTAGAAAGAACTAAGACTTCATTTAAATCTCTTATCGGGGAAACATCTACTTATTAATGTTTCCGCTCCTCTTAAAGCAGGTAACTACTGAGCAATCGCTAAGTGCTTTCCATGAATTTTTAACTTACAATTTTTCTGAATAAATTCAAAGTAATTATATTTGATCTTATTGCTAACCCTTGCTTTTACAATACAAATAAATGGAAAGACAAAATTATGAAGTTAAACAGAAATGAAGGTTGTCATAAGTAACTTTCAATAGTTCAAAAACAATTTTAAGTCTGTTTTGTTTCAACTCAAACCTCCAAACTGATTTCAATTTGAATGCAGCTCCATTAGAAGGAACTATGATGGTCAGCTTCCATTAACACTGAATGAATCATGGGCCCCAACCTCTTGTCTTTTATTATCATTCCTCATTTCTGAGATTCTAGGATGCCATCTAGAATCTTTTAACACCATCAACATGAACATTTAATCACTCTAAATTGATAAATGCTATCAAGTGAAGATATACCACCAGAAATATTTAAACCTCATTCAAAAGGGTTGAGTCAAAATTCTCAAAAACTAGCATCCTTTCAATGGATAAGAGTTAATCTACTAATACAAACTTCTTTCCTTAGTCCAAATTACAGACCTAATAGATTTTTTGGCTATTCCCTCACAACCACATTCTTTCAATAAAATACTATGCAGTCAAGAAAAATTATACAGATCAATACTTATAGGCATGGAGATCTCTCTACAATATATTGTTGGAAAAGGCAGGCTGTAGAATAACAAGTATAATCACCTCGGTTTTATAAAAATACACACACTCACAGGCAGGCAGAAAAGACTGGAAAGATATACACCGCAGCAATCAAAGTAGCTGACTTAGGTGGATGGCAAAATTTTGAGTGTCTGTTTATATTTTTTGTATCATCTGGATTTTTTTCCCAATAATAAGTATAGACTTTTCATATATATATAATTGGGGAAAACGCTGTTTTCATCAGTTAGTCAGGCAACAAACATACGCCTATGCTTGTCTCAAAAATCTACAGGTCAGAATCGCTTCATTTAGATTTCAAAGACAAATATATTAATTTTAGACCCACTTACTATTTGATCACCAACAACCATCGATACTTCTTTACTTAACTCATCCAGAAGAAAAAAGATACAGTGTGTTAAAAATAAAAATCAGAGGAGCTAGAGGTACCATCATTAAAATTCTTTCAGAAAAAGGCTGTCCACTGACAAGAACAGCTTTTAAATTTTTTGTTTTTGAAACTCTTTTCATTCTATTAAAAATAATTCGGTATTTAACCAAAATCTGGGCATTTCCAGAGACCCAGAGATCCTTTCTGAAAAACTGTCTGGTTATGCCCATACCTTCCACAGTAAATTTTGGAGTAGGGAGATAGAATGGTTCTAATCTAGACAGAATAAATAAGTCAAATCCTTTATTTATTTCATATAACTAAAGGTCAGTTTTATCTTGACATCTTTTGTTAGAGAATACTTACTCCAGACACTCTGGCCAGATAACTCAAATTTTAATTGAATTATATATAGATGCTGTCAAAAACCCACTTGAAACAACTGAGTATTTTAAAGACATTCAAAGGACTGCCAATTATCTATTACTCTGGACTTTTTTTCTATTACTGTATCAAGCAAATGATTCATAGAAAATTACAAATCTAAATAAACTTCAGTGTTCCACAGGAATTTTTCACAAGATTACATTTTATATGAGCCTTTGGTTTTTAATCAGAAATAATGCAAACATCTATATGAAAAGAATTTTGTCTTCTACAAAAGATAGTATCCATCAAGTCATGTATTACTTAGAGAGCCACATGTAAATCCTTTTTAAATTGTACTGCCAGGTAAGAGCCGCTTTTAGAAGACAATGAGAAATATACAACCCATATTTTAATTTCAGTTTTTGTCTTCACCGCTAGAAGACTCAGAACTAAATTTTATATAGGCTAGGCATCTAGTACATCTGCCAATATTTTACATGGCTCTTGATCTTTTAGTAATATCTAGTACAGAATTCTACTATATACATATTTTATCAAGCTGCTTCATAATCAGGCGTAAGATGGTTACTGCCAATGTCAAGAAACAGTCACAATTCTGTGTAAATGCTTCTGCTACAGCAACAAGCCATAAAGTACTTAAATGACAACAAATGCCTCAAATTTATCAAGCTTAATTTTCAAATTAGAAGGTTGGGACAGACAGGGATGGCAAAGAAAACAATGGTTTCATTTCTGGTAAAGACAGTATTTCAAAACATACAGCTTCTATGAAAATATTAAGTTTTAAAATTTTAAGTTTGCTTAACTTTACCTACCGTACCTTTTCAAAATTAACGTTATTTTAATGACAAAAAAATTTACATACCTTATGTAAACAAGTGTCCACTACCCAATTGCACACATTTTCCAGGTCATCAGATACCTCAAGCCTAGATTTAACAAATTCACAGAGTTCCTCATTACTCATAACATCCCAGATCCCATCACAAGCCAAGATGATAAATTCATCCTCTTCTGCTCTTAAAATTTCATAAACCTCAGGCTCTGGAGAAACAAGTTGTTCTGTCGGGCCCTTGCCATCAACACACTTGTAATCATAGTCCCCCAGAGCACGAGACACTGCTAATGAACCATTAACACGCTGTATCATCACGCTGCCTCCTGCATTTTGGATTCGCTCCTTTTCCCTTGGATTGCAAGGTTTGTGATCCTGGGTAGAAAAGCAGACTTGTCCATTCCTATACAGAACAGCACGTGAATCACCACAGTTGATAAAGTAGATATGCTTAGGTGAAATCATAACTCCCACTGCAGTTGAACCACTCCTGTCCATCCCATTTCTGAGGTCTGAAAAGTTACGCATGTATTCATCAATTTTCAAAAATCCAGTTCTGATACCATTCTTAACATTTTCCACTGAAAGCTCAAGAGCAGATCCTGATTTTCCAGCTGCCCTAAAGTCTTCGTTAGTAGTGATGTGTTCTAATAAATGTGTTGAGCAGTAATTTGCCACTCGGGATCCAGCATGACCATCATAAACTGCAAAAAATGACCAGTCTTCCAAGCCGTGAGGAATACCTACAACAGCTGTGTGTGCATCTTCCATTTCCACTCTCCATCCTTGCATGCTGCTCAGGCCATAACGTAAACCATTCCCAGCACCATGAGCATTATGTTTTTCAGTTTTGGGTTTATCCAAAAATGCACCCATGTTTAGCAATAAATCTGGAAAAAAAATGCAGGTGTTAAATGTTTAAATTTGACAAAAAGTGTATCTACAATATTCCCTCTATAGTCTAGTAACTCCTATCTCGATTTTTTTTAGTATTATTCTAATTTACAGGAACAACAGCAAAAGCCCAACAAATTTCCTCCCCTACATCCTACAGAACAGTGGTTTCTCAGCCCTAGCACATAAGAATAATCAGACTAATTAAATCAGAAACCCTAGGGACGGGACACAGGTATCATCTTTTAAAAGCCTCTCTGGTGACTTGTATGTGCAGCCACGTTGAGACCGCTGTTCTAGGAGAAAGGAAAAACAAGAAATAAAACTTTTTAATAATTTTCTTCTGATTTAATTTACAAGGTGAGTCCAGGGTTCGACATGTAAGTTTATAGAACACTGGACAATGAGAATATTCAAAACAGTGAGTCATCTTGTTCAATAAATCAAGGTAAAAAGATATGCTAATATATTTTAGAAGACGTTCAAAAGCAAGTATTGAAATCAAGATTTCTCCTCCCAGTGAACCTGAAGACAACCTCAAAATTCAATTAAAACATAAAAATCTCCATTCTACACACATTTGGTTTTACCACTTTTACTATGTATCTACAAAACTGAAAACTGTATCATTACTTGGATTCTGTTAAAAACATACCTTTAACATGGTGCTAAAAAATGACTTCACATTGCTGAACTTATAATCCATTAAGTAGCTACCCAGTGTTGACTGACAAAGACTTAAAATCTTCAGAACCGGAAAGTACTACTATGCATCACCCTCTCCCCACCTACCCAACTTTACTATTTTATTGAATAAAGCTTTCTCAATTTCAAATGACTTAGACTAGAGTAATGGTTCCCAAAAGTATGCAAAAAAATTATCTGGTATGTTTTCTACATACAATGCTGACCCTACACTCTAACTAGGTGACCTTGGGCAAATTTCTTAGTCACCTGTACCTATACCTCATAGGGATGCTGTGAAGAATAAGTCAATGTAAAGTGCTTAAAACAGCACTTAAAACACAATAAACACCATAAAATATTTGCTCTTATGGCTGCTCAAAATGCAGACTCCATAGCCCTATTCCCACACCTAAGGATTATTTTCAATAGATCTTAGATGGAATCATCAAAAAAGCATGCTGGTGATTTAAGGTTTTGAGAGAGACTGGTCTACATCAATTTACCTCCATCCAGGTCTAGGTATCTTTGTGAGATTTTTTCCAGGTATGATCATTACTGAATTTTAAAATAAAATTACATATCCCCATTTTTAAAAATTTGATGAACCACTCAATGTATATATGTAAATATTTATAAGTTATATATCAGTTTTATAATTTTCCTGGGTTATATATAATACTGTATTAATAAATTACAAATGTATTTATTGAAAAGGAGTCCTGAAGTGATAAGATTAAAATCATGTAAAAATTATTTTTCATTCTATCAGCAGAATGTCGCATTTTGTACTGAGAGCAATGTAACAGAATATGCTTGATTACTTTTGAACGTGCTGGTTTAATTCTCTGTGATACAAAAATTTTAAAGCTTAGTTCTAAGTACATTTTTATATGCTTGCTTGTATAGGGTATTTCATCTGAAAAGACAACTTTAAAAGATACTTAAATGAAAATGAAACAGAATTGTTGGCTGTATTTATTAAGTCACTTTTCTTTCTTTTTTTCTTTTTTTCTTGGTGGGGGTGGAGTCTCGCTCTGCCGAATGATGTCATCACACTGCAACCTCTGCCTCTCAGGTTCACAAGCGATTCTCCTGCTTCAGCCACCCAAGTGGCTGGGACTACAGGCAAATGCCACCATACCCGGCTTTTTTTTTTTTGAGATCTACAGATCTACAGGCACATGCCACCAAACCCAGCTCTTTTTTTTTTTTTTTTTTTTGAGATGGAATCTCGCTCTATCACCCAGGCTGGAGTGCAGTGGTGAGATCTTGGCTCCCTGCGACCTCCACCTCCCGGGTTCCAGTGATTCTCCTGCCTCAGCCTCCCAAGTAGCTGGGACTACAGGCATCCGCTGCCACGCCCAGCTGATTTTTGTATTTTCAGTAGAGATGGGGTTTCACCATATTGGCCAGGCTGGTCTCAAACTCCTGACTTTGTGATCCACCTGCCTCAGTGCCGGGATTACAGGCGTGAGCCACCGCGCCTGGCCAAATTCATTTTTGTATTTTTTAATAGAGAAGGGGTTTCACCATGTTGCCCAGGCTGGTCTCAAACCCCTGACCCCCAGTGATCTGCCTGCCTCAGCCTCCCAAAGTGCTGGGATTACAGGCGTGAGCCATTGTGCCCAGCCTTAAATCACTTTTCAATCCCATCTATCAATTATGGAAAAAAGTTTTGTTGCAGTTTTCATCTTTCCTGATGCTTCTGCAATTAAGGTACTGCTCTTTTTTACACTTTAACAAGCAGGTTCAAAATCCACAAGAACTCTTCATTCAGAAGTTTTTTTAAAAGTTTAGAAATTTCAATTTCCAAATTTGTTTTTCATCTGGGGAGGGAAAGCATTAGGAGAAATACCTAATGTAGGTGACGGGTTGATGGATGCAGCAAACCACCATGGCATGTGTATACCTATATAACAAAACTGCACATTCTGTACATGTACCCTAGAACTTTTAAAAATTTTTTTAAAATAAAATAAAGGAGAGAAGGAAGGTGGGGTCTTCAATAGAAAGCTATTAGGGTCTCTAAGAATGGGAGGGAGCCTGGAAGGCCAACTGGAAAACCATCAGGAAACAAAAGAGCCCCTGAGGCTAGGCTGCAAAACCGAATGAAGGTTACACCAACAATGGCTTTGCTTACCTACTGCTCATCTTTGTAAAGACTCCTACATTTGGTTTTCTCTCTGAAAGTCACTTGCTCAAGATGCAGAGTCCTGGGAAGTGCTGGGAACGGGCACCTAATTGACTAAGCATATGTCACCAGCACACCTTCTGGCTGAATCACTAATTCCATTATTTTGCAAATTGGTAATTTTTTTTTTAAAGTTCCACATTGATCTCATTTTAAATCTGGGGTTGTCCCATAATGATTTTATTTTTTAAATATTATAAACTATCACACATGTAAGAGTTTAATGTGTTTATATAGTTAAGGAGTAATAAAACAAACATGCATCCAACCACACTGTTTAAGAACTAGAACATTATAAAACCTACTACTTAGCCTCTCTCCAATCATACCCCTCTCTGTCCCAAGGTGGTCACAATCCTGAATTTTGTAATTAGTATCCCTTGTAGTTTAACTATATTAATGTGTGGTTGTTCTGTTTTATAGATTTGGCACTTTTCAATGATACAAAGTGCAGTATGTACTATTATGTTAATATTTATTTTTCCTGGGCAACATTGTATTTCTGAGATTCATCTACATTGATGCAGAGTTGTAGCTCATTCACTGTATTCCCTTGTACGTGCGTATCATCCATTCTACTATCAATTAACATTCAAGATATTTCTCATTTTTTCTTTAATGTACAATGCTCTTTTGAACAACCTTGGTGCAAATGTATGAGTGTTCCCAGACAATATAATGCAAATTTGACAGTGTAATAAAGATTATCTTTTTTCCACCAACAAATATCATGAAATCATTAAATCATTTCCAAACATTTATTTCACAAATGCCCTCTACTATACTACTTTCTTTAAAACAATTAATTGCTTAGTAAGTAATCTTGAGTGTAAAGATTAAGAGAGAGAATGTGTTGGTGGGGGTTGTTGTGTGTATGTGTAATGGGGGTAAGTGAAAGAACCTACTTCTCACCTTCCAAAATGGGAGATCAATAGATAATTCCCAGAATTGAAAAATCAAAAAGCAGTACCAGAAGCACATTATTTAGAGATACGAAGATAAATTCCAAAAGAATCAGATGTTAAGGGTTCAAAATAGGCCGGGCGCGGTGGCTCACGCCTGTAATCCCAGCACTTTGGGAGGCCGAGGCAGGCAGATCATGAGGTCAGGAGATTGAGACCATCCTGGATAACACAGTGAAAACCCGTCTCTACTAAAAATACAAAAACAAAATTAGCCGGGAGTAGTGACAGGCGCCTGTAGTCCCAGCTACTTGGGAGGCTGAGGCGGCAGAATGGCATGAACCCGGGAGGCGGAGCTTGCAGTGAGCCAAGGTCGCACCACTGAACTCCAACTTGGGCAACAGAGTGAGACTCCATATCAAAAAAAAAAAAAAGAGTTCAAAACGGTTGTTTCAGAAGAAAGTTCTCCAAGAAGAAGAGTGCAGAAACCACCAAGTCTTGTAGAATCATTTAGTTAAATTATGAAAATGTATATTTTAGTTAAAAAAAAAAAAAAACTAAATTTTTAAAAAGCATAAAGTAAAACAATATCCCAGTAACTCCAATTTGGTTATATTAATGTATGCAATTATCACATGTCCCCTGAAAATATACACATCTAACATTTATCAATAAAAATAAACAAAACAGTCCTATAAATAAGCAAACAGCAAACATGACACAAAAATGAACCAAAAAAAAAAAAACCCTCACAAATGCATCTTAAATTATGCCCAACCTTACACTAATAAGAGAAATGAAAATTAAGACTATACCAAAATATCACTTTTCATGTATCAGACTGACAAAGATCAAAGGCTTGGTAATCATTCTCCTGGTGATGTTATATAGAAACATACTAACATTGCTGATAACAACAGACTGGCAGAAGCTCAGTGGAAAGCTAAATTAATTTAATAAAAATCTATCAAAATTACATTTGCACATATCACTTAACAAAATTCTAAAAATGTGCCCACAGGTTTACTCCTGTCTGTACAAACTAACTATTCACTGCAGTGCTGTTAGCAAAAGTAAACATATAAAACAATATTTGTATTACTCACTTGGGAACTGATTAATAGGATGTTATGATACCTATTTAACATAAAACATCATATGCTACAATTTGTAGAATATACATATATACACACCCACACACACTTGTTTATTTATA